AAACTAGTCAGTTAAGAACCTAGAGCCATACATACTTCAATCTGATATATATATATATATAAAGGTACATATAGATTACCATAAAATTGGATAATATATCCTGACACCTTAATATAACGGTTCTATAAAATATTAAAAAAGAAATGCAAAATAAGTATGAAGGAATAAAAATACAAGTAAAAGGATTCAGCAAGGTGAGGGTACTAGCAGAGATTGTGCACAACGCTGTTTCGTAAACCCACTTAGGCTGACGGCCTAAGTATCCAAGGAAATAAGTATAGGTTATAAAAAAATTAAATTATTATTAAATATTATATGAATTGTCCTTAATAAACCCTATGATGTGATTACTGTGAAAGGGTTCCCTTCCTCAGCTGCCTGATGTCCAGGTAGAGGGTGGTCTCTGGAATGGCTCAGCCTGTTCCTTTGAGCAGCCTGGCAGATCAACCAGAAAATAGTAAATAAAAATTCTCTTCTTCCCCAACTCAAAGTCCTATTTCTTTCCCGGATCCCAAGTACTTCCACCAAATTAAAATTCTTTCTTCCCCAAATAAAAAAAAAATGTATGTCCAAAAACTTCAGTCGTTGCCGGCAGGCTACAAAAACAGAAAGCCTTTTTATTCAATGTTCTTGTACTTCATAGGTTTTTTTTAGTAACAAAAACTGGGATATAGTTGTCATTAAGTGACCTTGACATAAATATTTAATATTTCCACAGCGGAATTTACTTATATATGTAAATATAAAAAGAAATAATAATGATTTTTGGATATGTCTAGCAAAGTGAGAAGATTTGAAAAAAAAAATGGGGACTGGAAAATTTAAATGAAAGATGTAGGTGTTTGAAAAAAACTTACCAGAATCTTTCTAGGGATTCTCTTCCATAAAACAATAACTTCTCCAAATAAAATTTCTCCAAACTAAATAACTTCTTAAAAATAACCGAACCAAAACTCCTTATATTTCCCAAAAAAAAATAAAACTTAAACTTTCTTCTAGTTTCCCTAAGATTCTGCCTGCCGTGATAAAATTATCGACTTCTCTTGTTGAAGTTTGGTTCTAAAATGAATCAGGAGAATATGGCCGATGGCCAATATTCGTTTTTCCTATACAAGGTAATCGATTATCTTATCGATATCGATGTTCGATATATATTGATATATAGTTCGAAAGTCATAAAAATGAACTATTAGGGATCGTATTGTTAGTTGCATACTCCAACGGCGGCAAATTAGAGTAGATTAGATTACTAACGATTGTATCGTTACAGGGTAGCTTGGTTAAGTCTATCCTGTCGATTTGGGTTCCTCCAAATCCTAATTCGGCGATTATCCGACAAAAGGCTAATTTTGGTTTCATCAGAAAATAAGATCTTTCCCCATCTGTTGTCATGCCATTGTAAATGTTCATTGGCCCATTCCAGTCGAGTCCTTTTCTGCTCTAACGTAAGCTTTGGTACAAACAATGGTCTTCTTGTAAATAAATTCGACGAATGTAACCTATTTCTAATAGTCTGATCGTAAAATAAAATATTATGAGCTTGCTGGAGCTCTCTTCTAATAGCTGGGGCAATCATAGAGGGGTTTCTCCGGGCAGTTAACGTTAAAAAGCGTTCTTGGACATGGTAGTAATTCTGGGTCTTCCGCTTTTTGGACGATCGCTAACAGAATTCGTCTCTCGATATTTTTTCACAATCCGAGACACAGCACTCTGATTAACTCCAACCTGGACAGCAACGTCGACTTGTGTGTGGCCTTCCTCAATGAAAGTAACGATTCTAGCTCTGTTGAACTCAGATATCACTTGCCTATTCATATTGTTTACTACAAAGTAAATAAAACGCAAATCAATTTTTACGAATATCGGTTTTCGAAAACTGATGAACACAATATGAATTCCAAGAATCTCTGCGACGATTAAGAAACAAAAAACAAGCAGTAAAATACATTATTTTAGTAGACAAAAAAAATCAGTGCAAATAATTTCAAATTGGAAACGTTCAGTGGGGTTACAGATAATATGCAAAACATTTTTGAGTATATATATATATATATATATACTGGGTGGTGAATCGTCAAACGGGCCATAGGAAACTCAATGGGAAATTTTAAATTGTTGAATTGCTGCTTCCCTAATTATTTTAGATCAAAAGTCGTAAAAAACTATTTGTAGAGGACTAAATTCTGAGTTAAAAACAAATGTTAAAACCGTTCTACGAATCAATTGTACTTCAAAATTTTGCAAAAATATAATAGATTTTTCAGACCACCCCTAATAGTTAGGCCACACGTAATACAAGAATATATTAAAAAGTGTGTGTTCTATCCATTTATCATATCGATGTCAGATGTTTGACAATTTGAATTGTCAATTTTTTTTATTTTATGATTAAATTATAAACAATGAATTTTACTAAATACTACTACTACTGAACAATATTACTTTGTGAAAAATAAATTATATTGTTTACAAATCGATCAATATAATGAAATGTACTCAGTTGACGAAAAATCGCATAATGTTGTATTCAGGCAATAGCGCGAACCTTTTCCTGTCACTACCGGGTCTTTACTTAACGTAAGATATTCTAATACACTAAAATTTAATTCCATGTTAAGTTATACAACAATTAAATGAATTCCAATATACTGTTACTGTGATCTTTATTCCTAATAATAATATATGATAATTTCTAAACATAAAACTATAACAAATGTTATAATAAAACATGAATAAAACATTTTTATTTTCTTTATTTATTTTATTGCTCTTTTCTCCTTAACTGAGTACATTTTTTAATCAACTTAATTTTTCTTTTAAATACTAAATCACAAAATTTTCGCGATTTAAATCATAGATAAATATAATATAGTTGATTTAACTATTGTCAAATATTAGAAACGTCAATATGACAAAACGCAACACGTAATACACATTCACGGCGTCTGGTCTGACTTTTAGGGGTGGCCTGAAAAATGTATTATATTTTAGCAAAATTTTGGAATACGTTTAAGTCGTAAAACAATTTTAACAATTGTTTTCGATACATATTTGAGTCCTCTACAAATAGTTTCCCATGACTTTTGGTGTAAAATAATTAGGGAAGCAGGAATTCAACAATTTAGAATTTCTCATTGAGTTTCCTATGGCCCGTTTGACGATTCACCACCCTGTATATAAATATATCTTTTGATCTTTTCACTTTAATTTTTTATTTAGAAGTTTATTTAAAACAATTTCCGTAGTGGAAATCGATGCGGAGAATATAAAATATTTTTTTATTACCATTCCGGCTATAAAATATAATAATTAGTATAAAAAATGCCACAATAGTTTCAGAACCATATGTGGAGTATAGTGAGCTCCACCCATATATAGCCTGTCTCCAATGGATATCAATTTCAAAAAAATGTAAAATGTAAAATAAGTGAAACTACCAAGTGAAAATTACTAAAATGAAATCACTTTCATTATGAACATTTATGAGCTGACACTTGTATAAGTATAAGATACGCCATTTTAGTTGAAGGTTGCATTTGGCCAATCCATACGTTCATTCATATCCATAATATATATATATATATATATATATATATATATATATATATATATATTGAATTAAATGATGCGTTGTCAATTTGTAACGTCTTATGTATTATTCCGATTAGAAATATTGTGAAGAAAAATTGTGATTATTATTAACCAATTTGGTTATATCTTACGAATATTATGTGCTCCAACTACTTTAGCTTCCTTTATTTTTTGTAGTGCTTGGACTTCCTACTTTGTTATTGTGTTCACTGTTGCTGTCGCCGCGAGTGCTGCTGGAATTTCTGCAAAAGTTTTGTTATAAAAGTAGTTTTCCAGTCCTATTATATAATTATAATCTTGGAAGTATAGCTTCCTTATCCTGGGCTATGGACCGGTGAATCGCACAGAGGTCTGAAAACATAAAAACGACTGAAACGGTAAAATGAAACGACTGTAACGAAGATCGCGTGACCACACACTACGTGGATTAGTAAACGCAGCCCAACGCGTGTTTCGTAATAAAACAAAATAAGTTAAATTAAAATAAAATACAATAAAATAAAATCAAATAAAGTAGAATAAAATAAATAAAATTAAAATTAATAAAATAAAAAAATAAATAGAATAGAAGAAAGCTTCCACTACTCGATCACTCTAGGAGTGCTACATCCCGTTTTTTGTATACTAAGTGTTTATCATTTTCGTCTTGAATTTATATAAACTTAGTATATTGTGTATTGCTTGCCCTATATATATATTGAGCTATTTTATGTATCTTCTTTTCCACTTTTTTGGAGTGATGTTCATTAGGCGTATAAATTTTTATCAGGTGTAAGTTTCAGCGGGTTTAGTTTATTTTATATTAGACGCATATGACGAGTTTGACTCATTTCTGATATTTCTCAGACATCATAGTTTTTTCCTCTCAATGCATAGTCTCACGTTATAAATAATTGAGAGATTGAGCCGTGCAGTATTTTTCGTATCTTAGCAGATGTCCGAGGTAACTAGTTTGTCTTGTTTTTATCACTGACAGGAGTTCTCGCTCTTTATTTATTCGTTATAGAACTTCTTCATTGCAAGGCATTTTCAGGACTTGGTGATAATTTCAAATCTTGAAAGCATCTAGTTTATATAAGTTCACAGTCTTTAGCGTCCACGACTCGACTCCGTACATTAATATTGACCATATATAACATCCTCTAAGTTTTCTACATCTTCTTCTCATGCTTTTTATTTTTTTTTTATCTTTTTATCTAAAGCACAGAGTGCTTTATATTTGAGTGTTGTTACTAAGCAACGTTGTAATACAATAACATGTAGGATATCTGCTTTTCAGACTTTATTTTAATTTATATCAAATTGTGTTCAGGTACATTATAGGTATAAAGTAGTTTTACGACAGTTTTGTTTCTTGTTTTAGTATATCTACGAATATGTACATTGTCTTGAAAAATTAAAATTTTTAGTGCTGCTCTATCTGCAGAGGAAATAGAACTTGTAAAGTTAGTTGTGTCTCAAGGTTGTACAGTTGATGATAAGTATAGAATTTTGGAGGCCAGAGACAAATTAATGAAACTTAAACTGAAGCGAAATCCTACAGAACAGTCATCGGCTACAGTCGGGACATGCCCTGATATGTGTCCTGAAAAAGAAAGACTGTTTAGAGAAATCAAACATCAGGTAAGAGAATGTACTATGATAATTTTGTTCATGTGTCCGGTTTCCACGAAATCTTACCTTTTTAATTATATATATATTAATCATTCATCATCACCAATCCGCGTTTCTTTGTTCATTGTTGAACAAAGGCCTTCTCCAGATATTTCCATTTTTTTCTGTTCTGCGTCTCTACTATTCAATTGGTCACAGTCCTTTTGAGGTCGTTGGTCTATCGCGTTGATGTCTTCCAGTCTGGAAAAAAGACCAGTTTAGGTTGCATATATGTTACTTCTACCATATACACTGTAAAATGAAAGAATAACCAAATGTTAAAAATATAATGTGTTCATTTTATCATTTTTGTTGTATTTTCGCACAACAAAATTATTAACTTAAAAATTTATACGAGTAAAATAATATTTGAAACCGTGAGAATATAATCTCCAGATGGTCACTAGTTACATATATATATATATATATATATATATATATATATATATATATATATATATATATATATATATATATATATGTATATATATACATACATATGTCCAAAAGTTTGGAATATTGGTATATTTCATCTTTTTATTGATTTTTATATATAAACTCTTCTGAATAGGAAAACATCATTTTGTTTCAATTCTCAACAATACTAAATAAATCTCAAAACCAGATAATCGATATGCAAAATAAATTGGTGTAGATAAAAATAATTTTTAATAAAACTTCTTCTTCTTCAAGTGCCGTCTCCATCAATGGAGGTTAGCGGTTATGGTGGCAAACGTTTGTCTATCTTCAGCTGCTCTTAAGAGTTCCTCAAATCCAAGTCCTGTCCAGTTTCTGATATTACGTAACCAGGACAATTTTTTTCTTCCAATTCCTCGCTTTCCTTCTATTTTGCCTTTTATTATCAACTGAGGGATGTAGTATTTCTCGTTGCGCAACAAATGCTCTAAATAACTGGTTTTTCTTCTTTTGACTGTTCTCAATAGTTCTTTTTCTAAATTGAGTCTAGCTAGTACTTCTTCATTTGTTTTTCGTGCTGTCCAAGGAATTTTTAAAATTCTACGGTACACCCATATTTCAAATGCCTCGATTCTATTCAGGCTCTTTATTTTTAAAGTCCACGTTTCGACTCCGTAGAGAAGAACAGACCAGATAAAACATTTTACAAGTTTTAATCTCAATTTAATATTTATATGTGTATCGCAGAATAGAACGCGCATCTTAAAGAAACTATCCCTAGCTTGAGCAATTCTCGCTTTAATTTCTTGTTCTGGGTCCAGCTTGCAATTAATCCAACAGCCAAGGTATTTGTATTGGTTTACCTGTTCTAAAATATTCCCATTTATTTTTATAGGTAAGGGGATATTCTGTTTTCTTTGGATCACCATTACTTTTGTTTTTTTTTTTTTCGTTGATCTTTCCATTCCAAACTCTCGACAAGCATCCTTAAGGTGGTCTATAACCCTCTGTAAGTTTGTGTCTGTATCAGCCAGTAGGACAGTGTCATCTGCATATCTTTTGCTAGATATTGGTTCTCCATTAATTTTTATTCCTGTGGAAAGGTTTTCCAAGGCTTGCTTGAATAGTAGTTCCGAGTAAAGATTGAACAGCATAGGGGATAGTATGCATCCTTGCCTTACTCCTTTATTTATACTAATATTTCTAGATGTATGATCGTCGATCCTAATCTTGGCACTCTGCCTCCAATATAAGTTCTTAATTAATCGGAGATCTTTACTATCCAAGTTGATGCTCTGCAAGGAATTTAACATTTTATTATGGTTTACGCGATCAAATGCCTTTTCAAAGTCTACAAAACATAGAAAGACATCCTTTTGTTGGTCGTAACACTTCTGCAGCAGTACTTGTAGTACTTAAATAAAACTAATAATTAGTATTTCCTCCATTGGCCTGTATGCATGCCTGTAGGCGATTTGGCATGCTGCCGATTAACTGGCCGAGCTGGGCTTGCGGAATTCTCTCCCATTCTTCACGAGCAGCATCTTTAAGTTCTCGAAGCGTAATAGGGGGATTGTTTTGCTTCTTAATGCGTGTTTTGAGAATGTCCCAAGCATGTTCAATAACGTTCATATCGGGGGAATTCGAGGGCCACTGTAATGTAGATATTCCTTCTTCTTCCAGAAAATTTTGTACTGCTGCCGTTCGATGAGGAGGTACGTTATCATGCATAAACACAAATTCTTCACCTACTGCCCCTCGGAATAGACGTACAACAGGATTTACAACTTTGTTTTACAGTTACAGTGTGTTACAGTGTGTTCCCAACAAATGTTCTTCATAAAAACGCTTTATAATACATTTATACAAATTAAATGACACATATTATTGTATATTTCTTTAAGTTAACATTAATAGAAATTTTTAAATATTATTTCTACGCGTATATAATAAAATATGTAAGTGGCTGTAATGCCAGTGTACTCGACAAAGTGATTCTAAAAAAGAACACACCTACTGCCTAAATATTTCCTGTTGGTATCATGTGACGTCACGGACTATGACGTCGGTGACGTGCAAATTAAATGAATTATATATATATATATATATATATATATATATATATATATATATATATATATATATATATATATATCTCTTTTAGTTTAAATCTTTTAGTGAAAGCCGCTATCGCTTTATTATATTAAAAGGCCAAATATATGGCCTAGGAGACAAATTCGTTAAACTTCCCGTGCTCGAATCGGTATCACTAAAGTGTTATGATCATTTCGGCCTATCCCAGCCATCGTCAGACACTTGGGCTGATAGAAATTGTCTATAAAAAGTTCTGAATTTTAGGAATTTATTTAGGAGTTAACAACATCCATAATTCATATTTTTTGACAAACCTCGTATATGACTGGAAAAAATTAATATTTGATGATTGTATTTTAGGTTTTAGAACATGCAGAACTTTTTATAAAGAATAACTTTTTTTATAAAACTAAATAGTGCTGACCTAATAGTCGCGATCAGTAACCGTTATTTTTAAATAACGGTGATTTTAAACGGTGACTGTAATCAGTAGATCGTTTAACTTTATACTTATTATATATACCTATAAATTTGCAATACTATCAATAAAATAATTCATTTAAAGAAAGCACTATAAAACTTTCTTGACAACAACTCCAGAATTTCACTTAAATTTTTTTATAAACTTGTTTATATAAGAATATTTTTATGAAAGAAGAAATATATTCAGTACGTTAAATTAATGACATTATTTTAAAAAGACAAATATAAGTAGATAATACAATATATTTTTATTTCAGTTTCTCATATTCAACGGTCGGTAAAACCCAGATGTTAGTTACCGTTCTCCAAATTACGTTCACCGAGAATATCATAGTATTTATTATATAAACAGTTTTGTGAAACTATGACCGTGATTTGATATCTGATATATCTGGTCACTGTTCACGGTTATCGACGTTAACAAGGAACGCTAGTTATCGGTGATATATTTATTTATTTATAAATCAGCGTGACTGTATCACCGTTAGTGAAATCACGTCCCATTACTAGCACACTCTGTATAAAGTTGGTTTAGTAAATTCGTTATAGTGGTTTGAAATTCTAAAATATCAGTTAATATAACCATATTAAATATGACTAAATTTGGGAAGTTCGATTCATTCCTGCTTCTTGTTTATTGTCTTTGAATTGTATTGTATTGTATTTAATCATTGTCTAGTTTATTTTAATGTATATTTTGTAATAAATGATGATATGTAAGTTCAATCTTTTCTCTATAATTTTAATTTTTTCATTTTACGGTCATTTTAGGTGGCCTGGTATGAACAAGATGAAAACGAAAGGAAAATGAAACACAACAAAGCTGTCAAACAATATTCTAGAAGTTCCGCTGATCAAGAGGCTCCGTTGGCACATGAATTGCGACCAGTAGATGTCCTACAAATGACTATGGGTTATCTTTTACATAATATAATTGATCTGTGCGATACGGACGAGGTATTTATTTACTAAAATCTTTCATAAATCCCTTTTAATGGATGCATTTGCAGATTCATATCGGTGATTGGTTTCACTTTCTTTGGGATCGAACTCGAAGTATCAGAAAGGACATCACACAACAGGAACTCTGTTCCCAGGGAGCAGTTGAGTTAGTAGAACAATGTGCTCGATTTCACATCCATTGTTCAGCCAGACTTGTAGCAGAAGATCCCTCGGTATTTGATCAGAAAATTAACACTGAAAACTTGACGAAATGTTTGCAAACCTTGAAGTATATGTATCATGATTTATCGCTTAAAGGTGAAAGTTGTAAGAATGAAGCTGAATTTAGAGCGTATGTCATTTTGCTGAATTTAAATGATGGAAATTTTATGTGGGAGGTGAGACGATTTATCATAACTATTCTTTTCATCACGACGTGTCGTTAGCTTCAAATTTTAAATTTTAGCAACGTATATTATATATATATATAATAAGTATTCAACTAGTGAATTCAGAGGTTTAATCGGTCATTCAGGTTGGCAAATAAAAAAAGAAGTTAACTACTTCATAAGTTTAGCCAAGACGTTTCGCTTTATATTTCTACAGCTTCATCAGTTCTAACTCAATATGTAGTATATATTATAGATGTTATTATATATGTACTGTAAACTTTACTCATTATTTAAAACTAACTTTGACACAATTCGTTAAACTTTCCGTGTATGAATTATTATCAGTAGGCTGTTATAACGTTATTTTTGGATGGTGAGATACAAACACACGAAAAGCCAGCGAATGTTTCCTCCTATTGCGACTAAATGAAGTGAAATGAAATGAAAGAAAGTAATACTACAAAAAGCGCTACCTATTTTTGTAGTCTTAAACGAAAACGACTATCGTTTCCCGTGTTTTTGAGCTGTACGAAATATATATATATATATATATATATATATATATATATATATATATATATATATATATATATACATATATATATATATATATATATATATATATATATATATATATATATATATATATAAGAAATACTGGATATTAGTGACTGTCGATATAAACAAACAACACAGTTTATTAGGGTTGCAGTCAGTCTGACTGGTGTTGTTTGTATATATATATATAATATATATATATATATATATATATATATATATATATGTAGACTCTAGATAATGCAAAAAAAACTATTTTTGTAGGTTCAACAGCTTCGCAGGGAGATTCAACAGTCCAAAGAAGTACAGTTTGCCGTACAAGTCCATTCTGCAATAGATAAAAACAACTATGTAAAATTTTTTAAATTGTTATATTCTACAACCTATTTAAACGCATGCATTTTCATGAGGTATTTTAACCAAATACGCTTATCTGCTTTAAAGACGCTTCATAAATGTTATCTACCACGAACCACAAAAACATCTTACCCTTTGAGTGAATTAACGAAGGTCTTAGCATTTGATGACATAGATTCAACAAAGGATTTTTTAGAGTTTTATGGTCTTTTTATTACAGAAGACACTAAACATGTAATTTTGGATAAAAATGGTTTTATTATGCCAGAACTTCCTTATATACTGGATAGATCTAATATAGTCGAGGAAAAACGACAATATTCTGTGGGCAAAACAATATGTGGAAAAGATTTACCACCAAAAACTTACGAATCACACAAAGTCCATAATAGTTTTGATCAAAAAGGATATTTAATCGATAAAGATATTTTAGAACACTTTGATTTAGAAACAGTAAAATTGAAGTTATTGCAACAACTCGAGGAAAATGTCGAATCATCGAAAACTAAAAATTCATCATTTACACAAAAATCATCTGATACATTTGTCTTCGCAGAAAAGGAGGAAAAAGCAGATAAGTCTTTTTCATTTAAAAGAAAAGACGAGGAAGTGAAAAGTAAAAATTTGTTTCCAGTTGCAGTGAAACAACAAACAATTGATAATCCATTTTTGATTAAAAAGAGTGATGACGTGGGGAGTCCCTTCTTATTCAATAAAATGGAGGAAAAAGTTACTAATCCATTTGCATTCAGCCAAAAAGAATCAACTTCTAAACAAGGTAGCATCTTCGATACAACACCCCCTTCACCGAAAAATATCTTCGGATCATCAGTAAGCTTCCAATCCGCATTTGGAACAAACAGTGTCACCAATATGAGCTCTACAAATCAAACAAATTTTAGTTTTATAACACAACCAGTTCCACAAGAAACTAAATCTAAACTGGGTGGATTTAAATTTGATTTGGTGCTTCCAACGAAACAAAACGAATCTGCTGATTTGGTCCCTGAACCAGATCCAACCACAGTGTTGGAAATTCAAGAACAAAGAAAGAGAGACGAAGAGGAACTCTTTAAGAAACAAGAGGAAGAACGATTGAGATATATCGAAGAACAAAAGAAACTTGAGTTGCAGAAGTTGGCGGAGCAAAAAAGATTGGAGTTACAGAGAGAACAGAAACAACTCGAATTAAAAAGATTGCACGAGCAAAGAAGATTGGAGTTAATGAGAATAGAGGAAGAAAAACGTCGCGAAGAACTAGAGGAAGCATTAAGAGAAGAAAAACGATTAAGGGAAATTAAGAAGCAGCGACAAGAAGAAGAATTAAGAAGACGACTAGAAGAAATTGAAAAAGAGGAGGAACAATTAAAAGAAATGGAAATAAAAGCTGACGTAAAAAATTTAATAAATTCGTTGGTAGACAAAGTGGACCATCTAATTCGACAACAGAGGCTAATTGCAATAAAAGAAAACATGGAAAGAAGGTTAGTATTGAAAATATTTTGTGAGTGGAAAATTAATGCATCAAAAAACAAAAGAAAACGCAAAGCTATAGACTGTAGCCCTCTTTGGATAAACACAAAAACTTTGGAACAATCGGCGCATGAATTGTCTGTCTCTTCGCAAGATTTAAATCTGACATTAATGAAAAGGTACAAATATGGTAAACCTTTAGATATTGAACATCTTCTCATGGAAGACTTTAAATGTGTAAACTTATTTGAGTTGACGTACGCTGTTTTAAAGAATCGAATATTTGAACTGACTGTTAATAAACCGAAAAATATTTTTTGGAAAGTTGTAGTAAGTTTGCCCGATGCCAATGAACTGAAAGTTGGATTAAATAGACTGGAAGAGGCAATGAGAAGTGCATTTCTGTGGTCAAAATCAGACAATAGATACTTACATTTGGAACATTGCAAACCAAATAACTTTGAATCCGTTACATACTGTGTTGAAAAACAGCAAGGTTCTGTGATTCATCAGTTTGATGCAAATGGTATAATTTTTCTTGCTAAAGATTATAATTCTAGTCTCCAGCAGAGAATTCTCGCTAGTCTTAAAGGATTTGGTGTCCACAATACTGTACCAATAGTTATTATTCTTCAAGAGTATAACAGCAATGAGAAAAAATTGGAAAGCCTTATGGAGGAAAACATTATTTCCAATTGTATAGTGTTAGTCGAGAACGCATTTACTCCTAAATTAATTAATGCTGTAGAGGAAGGACTATTATTTTTGGCAAAGAATGTGGAGTGTTGGCCACCTCTGAAACTGGACAGTTTAAAATCGTTTATATCGAAGTATCTTTGTACGGAACTGTGGAAAAGAGCTAATAGTTTTGCAAAGTGGAACTCAAGTTACAAAAAATGTCTACAGAATCCGAACGTAGTGTTGAATTTATACAACGAAGGCCTCCGTAGATTAAAATCAATTATTTTGGACAAATCATACTCGGAGTATGCAGTTTTTCCAGAGGAGTTTAAAAAATATCTAAAGAGTGAAATTCCGGATTACCTACCTTGTTCTTTTCACTATTTTCCTCTAAATTGGAAATCATCTTGTTACTTTGAAAAATTGGAAAGAATATTAGATGATCTGAGTTTACCAGCTTGGAAATATGCTTGGCCCCCACTCAATGAGCAAGAACTGGAACTAAGCGTCATGAATTACTGTTCAAAACTTACCGGGCAACCTAGAAATCTATTTTATAAGACAATGAGTTTATTTTTACAACACATAGATCCAAACACAAATTTTAAAGATATCCAATATGTACTGTGGACCGATATTATAGGACCGCTAGCTTTACAAAAGTTGGCAAGTATTAATCATTCCTTACCCAAACAATTTGCAGGTTCCATTTTTAAAGAATACTTCGTTATTTATAACAAGAATATTCTTAGTGAGTATGATTACTGTGATTGGTTTTATATCTACCACCCAGTTATAAAGAAATTTATTGAAGAAGATTTAATAAAGAGAGCTGCTAAGGAAATTAAGAAAAATCCTGTCCTACCAGAGCATTTAGAAATTAGCGAACAGGCTATAAATACAATATGGGAAAGCTGTTTATTGCCCAAACCAGAAGCATCTCGTATGGCGAAAGAATTGGCAGATTTAAATAAGTCTTTGGATAATTTAGCTGCTACTATGGCTGTGCAAAAGAGGATTTCATCTCGATTGGAACAAAGTTTAAGCAATGCGATTGCAGAGAGGTAGATTTATATTTAGACAAATACAATAAGAAGTAAAAATATGTGATTTTTTAAGTAAATTTAGTTAAGGCAATACAACGATAAGATAAAAAAAGTTCTAGTAGTAAAAAAATAAGTTTGGCATTTTAAGACATATTTATTTCTTCAGGCCTTTTGTTTACTGCAAATCTATTTGCAAATTTCTGCAATAACTCAATTTCATTGATAGGGCGCTGTTCTGGAAAAATTTCAAATATACTGTTATTTTATAGTATTTGGAAATAGCTGAAAGTAAGATGAAAAGTCAAACCTAGCTCTTATTTTGTCTTTCGGTATGAAATCAATAAAATTTTGGAAAAAGCACTAATCTTTCAAGCCGATGAAATTATCTTTGCTTACTTCGGTGTAATCATTTTTTATTTTGATTCATGTATTTCAAACTTCGCGTAAATTTTTATTTACATTTTCCTATTTTTGATAAGGGGTACATACTTTTCATACTACTACTACGAAAAATTTGCACATTTTTTCTGAACCGTTCTCTTCAGCTCTGTCTATCTTGCCAATATCCATCTCGCAATTTTGTTATATCCATTGCCTCGTGTATTTCATATCCAAATGGTCTTATAATCCACTATTTTGATTAATTGATCTTCTGCTTCACGTGTCATATCAGAGTTATCCGATTTTGGCGATCACCATTGCGAAGAATTCTAGACCTTCTGCCATATTATATCCATACGGTTCTTAATAACAGCAATGTTTATCTTACCTCTTGTGTCTACAGTTTCTCCTGAGAAACTTCATCTCTGTCACCTTTATTTTCCTTCCTCTCATACACTTTTAATAAATTTAGAGGAGCTCTGGTAATTATTTATACAAGACAAAACTATTTGATCTAATTTACATATTACATTTCCTTCTGCAACAACTATGTACTTGTTGCAGTCGACTTTTAGAGTACCAAGTATTGACTTTTTAAATTGCTTTTGTAATTGTATTGTATTGTTAAGGTTTTATAATGTTAGTTATTAAGGTTAGTACTTTTTGTAATAAATATTTAAATTTTCTAAAAAAAATAGTACTATTTAATTATGATGCAATAATCATAAATTCCTTTTCTTCCCTCTAGTAATTATATCTACGATTAGTTTTAAATTAGGTTTTCATCATATTGTTTTAACGAGACTATTTAACTGTCAACTGCAAAAATGTGAATGGAGAAAGTAATGTTATTGTCATTCTCCTAGTTTGTGAAAAATACTTAAATTCAAGTAGCGGTTTGTTAAGTTGTAGCTTTGTTTCACTTCTTGTGAGTGTGTTTATCCAGTTGGTACAAAAAGTAATGTAACTTGCTAATTACTTAGATTTTTGATAGGTTTCCAAAAAGAAAGTGTTAAAAGTTTTTTTAATAATCAAGTTATCTGTAAGTAAAATAGAAATATACATGGTGCGTCTTTACAAAATTATAAATATTTATATTACCTTTCGTAAAAATACTAGTAGACACTTCTTCTGTTATTGAGGATCCCAATTCAGCGCTGTCCTGGCAGTGTCACCTGGGGTCAACAGAGTGTGTGGCCCAGCCATCTGCCTTATGATATTTTCTTGGTTGGTTTCTTCTTCTTCTTGATTAGGTGAAAATATATGGCGATTTTTTCGTAAAGCTTCATTGATGTACTTGATAAACTTGTAATTGGTTTACTATGGGTGGTGATATCTTCCATAGCGATATAGTCATACAGCTTTTACATTTGTGTTGAAGATTTTTAATTTCGTTTTAATTGGGTAAATCCTGGATTTCTATATGTCATTAAGCATATTGTATGTTCTCTTTTAGTTTCCTGTTTGATCATAATAGACTGGTTGTTTCTGGTGACCAATCTTATTTCTTTGATTTTGTTGATGTTTATTTCTAGACCAATCTTGTTTTATTCTTGGTATAATTTTTTTACTTGTGAGTTGCATGTCCTTTTTATATGTACTAAGAGGCATATATTACTATCGGTGTAATCTAGATCTTCCAGTCTGTTTGTTAATCTTCAGTAAATTCCTCTATTAGAGTACCTTTGTTAGTACGGCGTCGTACAACGTGAAATATAACGTAGAGTTAAAAAATATATTTATGGATAGCGTTTAAACGAAAACAAAGATATAAGTGAAAGTTATAAACGGCGAGTGGAAAAAAATTAAAAGATATGAAAGACGAGAGGTGAGACAAAATATGGTACGTTCGAACGGGAGAGGTGATACAGATATAATAGAGGAAGTTAAATGAGAGTATACAATGGCTAGAAATATACAAAAAGAAATAAAAGGAAAAGAGAGTTAAGATTTGATTTCACGTATAGTGCGTCTCGGACATGTGATGCGGGGCGATAAGTATGGCATCCTGCGACTCATAATGCAAGGAAAAATAGATGGCAGAAGAAGCATCGGAAGAAGACGAATTGCATGGCTGAAGAACCTGAGAGAATGGTTTGGATGCAGCTCAAAACAACTATTTAGAGCTACTGCCTCAAAAATTAAGATAGCTATGATGATTGCCAACCTCCGTAGCGGAGATGGCACCTGAAGAAGAAGATAGTGCGTCTGTGTATCCGCTTATACGTATTTCGCCCTAAAAGGGCTTTTCAGAATAATTATTCACAGTCGCTCTGAACGTGAAAATAAATCTCTTCTGTCTTAGGAAGCAAATCGTACATGGCTTCGAATAGACGCAAATAGCGACATCTGATATTAAATCCGTAAAACTAATTTTCGAAACCAAATTCAGATTTTTGCTTTAATCTGTGCCTTCTAAGAATTGCAAGGCAAAACAGACGTTGATAAAGATGTTATTAGAGACATGGGGAATCTAAAAATTGTATACAACATATCTCATCAACTCTTAGCGAATTGGTTTCTAGTACTCGTACAGAGTATATCGGAATAAAGGAAAAGACAGTTACGATTTGATTTCACGTATAGTGCTTCTGTGTATACGCTTATACGTATTTCACCCTAAAAGGTTTCTTCATAACGGCCATTCACTCTGAACGTGAAAATAAATCATGTCATTCATTCTTGAACACCCACTCTAGCTACAGTTTCTACTCCTGCGCAAAAATTCCACTACGTCGTTTTATAACTTGACATAATGTTTACAGTCCGTTTGTTACGTCTCCAGTATGTCTACGTCTACAGTCCGTCAAACTGTAAATCCAACTTAACTGAAAATAGCTCAACATTATTTCCTCTAGCTTTTACCGTAGCTAACACAATCTTTAATTTTTCTGTTAAATACTTTAAATTTTTTTTTTAATGAAGTAAATAAAACGTTGGTGACTCAAATCATTCTTGAAAAGCATTATTTTGATTTGAAGACCAATACGTTCAGTTGGTCAAGTTGAAGTAAATTCTCGCTTGCAGTAATATTTATTTAAGCGATTGTCTCTGGTTTTATTATCTGCTCATCTTATCAACTTTAAACCTTCAATATTTTGTACTTGAAGTAAACTTAATAGGTATACTTGGTTCGCTGATCCCAACTGTAAATTTAGTAATTGTTTGTTACTACGTTGGTTAAACTTTGACCGACTAGCAGAAACTGAAAATTACTATACAACCGACCATACGTGCTCACAGCCAATATTGAAACAAACAAATATTCATCTTTCAGTTTATTATCAACATAAAACTGCATCAATTAAAACAAAAGTTTATTTTTGAAATTTTATAGTCGTGTTTAAATTAGTATTTAAAAATGGAAAGTTTTTAATGAAAATTAATGAATATAAACTCCCATTATTCATTATTATTCTTCTCTTTTTAATGAAAAAGGCTGCAACTTTAAGTTTATTTGGGCTATTAATACTGAGGGGTAGAAATTTTTGTATCGTATAACTTTATAAAAAAATATTTGATACTCTAAATATATATATATATATATATATATATATATATAATATATATATATATATATATATATATATATATATATATATATATATATATATATATATATATATATATATATATATATATATATATATATATCTATATATATATATATATATATATATATATATATATATATATATATATATATATCGGTTTTAGAACGTCTTTCGATGTTGTCCGATGCCTAACTTCCACGTCCTTCTATCATCCCATTGGCCGTCTCTAAGATCTCTTGTACTCATTGCTTTAGTTACCCCTTTTTTCCATGTCTTTTTGGGTCTTCCTCGTTTTTTGCGGTTTGGTGGTACCCACTGCATAATCTTCTTGGGTAGTCTCTAAAAACAATTTACATTAAATATCATTGAAAAACAGTGCACCTATCCACTTATTATTACCATTTTGTGAAGTGCAATTGACAGTCAACTCGAGTTGGCCAAGAATATTGGATTTGACCGGTGCGGTGGTGAATTTTATAAGTATTATAGTCCATGCAAGCACTCTTGACCACGGCGCAGTACACGAAATTTGGTTTAGTCCCCCACCTCCAGGAGAAACGCACTGTACTATGCAACGTGAAAATATCGACTTGAAAATGTTTAGTTTTGTTTTTGACTTTGAGGTGTTAACTTCAATAAGTTTGTGTGTTTTCTCCCGTTTAACTGTTGCGTATTCAATTTTATTAAAAGCAGTCAAAAGGTAGATACTTTATCATAAATTAAAATACATAGGGGTGCATTAAGGAAATTTTAATAAATTTTTTTTCATTTCTTTTTTGTTTTGAGACTGGTGCAAAACAAAAATTACTTGCTGTCTATTTCAATTAATTGGTTAATATTTGATATTGGAAAATCTTTTTTAAACTACTTCATATGTTACGATTTACGTTGATTTGAGTTTACATTTTTTTAAAATCTTTGTTTTATATATCGTGTTCTTTTTAACATAAAATGTTACATTTTTAAAACTTTTTTAACATAAAAAATAATTTTTGTTGATAAAAATAGAAAATTTCAATACTTAATTTTTCAATACGTAGTTATGTAATCTTAACATTTTTTTTAATTCGTTGTCTGATTTTAATTAAATTATATTTCTTAACCCCCTCTGTGGCTCAGTGGTAAGAGCGCCTACCTTTAAACCTAAAGGTCGTGAGTTCGAATCTCATCTGGGTGGAGAAATTTTCGTTTATTAAAAATTAATGAATGAAAATAATTTCTATCCTTGTGCGATCGGTACTCACCGGAGGGACCGCAGACGTTCGGATACAATTAGCGTCTCTTAGCAAAGACAATGACGTCGAGTTTGTTAAGTATCAAGACAATTACTCCACACACACACACACACACACACACACACACACACACACACACACACACACACACACACACACACACACACACACACACACACACACACACACACACACACACACACACACACACACACACACACACACACACACACACACACACACACACACACACACACACACACACACACACACACACACACACACACACACACACACACACACACACACACACACACACACACACACACACACACACCACACACACACACACACACACACACACACACACACACACACACACACACACACACACACACACACACACACACACACACACACACACACACACACACACACACACACACACACACACACACACACACACACACACACACACACACACACACACACACACACACACACACACACACACACACACACACACACACACACACACACACACACACACACACACACACACACACACACACACACACACACACACACACACACACACACACACACACACACACACACACACACACACACACACACACACACACACACACACACACACACACACACACACACACACACACACACACACACACACACACACACACACACACACACACACACACACACACACACACACACACACACACACACACACACACACACACACACACACACACACACACACACCACACACACACACACACACACACACACACACACACACACACACACACACACACACACACACACAC